CACATACCACACATACAAATGCAATAATGAATATATGTGTGTGTGGGGATACATATATGTATGCTTCAATATTGCATTTTTGCAAAAGATGACATAGAAAATTAGAAATTTTCAATTTTTTCTCTAATATTTTTTAATAGTCAACTGTAAAAGACATGTTCCTTGTTAAAATATTGTATTATCTGATATATAAGTGTGAGTAACAATAATATATAAACAACACAAGGTATTAATTTAGTTACATAATTTGTATGCCTAAATAGTTAATAGCTTACATCAAGTCAATTACATTTCCTGCAGTTTAAGTTAGTTGGTATATTTAAGTTTTTGATATTCTTATACCAGATTTGACAATACTATCTACGATTTGAAAAACACTTGTCAATTAATTAAATATTGCGATGTGATAATATATTTGTCGTAACTAAAGCTTTAGATATACCAAAGTAGCGCATTCCTTTTATCTGATTCGAAATGCTAGCAACCTTCCTATTGACTATTTCGACCACCATTTCGATTTAATTGTCTGTAGTCCAATAAGCGCTTAGTATTATTGGTATAGGGGTCATGTTCATATATTACTACCAGTTGACTGCCAGTATTGAAAATCTATAGTTTCCGTTACTATACTGTATTGACAACTGGTAATATACGAATACGGCCTATATGGTTAGTAGGTCTAAAATGGAGGACCTATGCGCTACTTTGATATATTTAAAATTTTAGTCATAACTACATTCGTTACATGTGAAATATATCAAAATGTGAAAGAAATATATCATGGAAGAATTGTATTTTAATAAAGATAAACAAAGTCATATTAATTGATGCTTATTATTTTTAAATCATATTTAAGAACTCTAGATTTTTTAATTCCATATAATATAAATACTTAAACATAAAATTAATAAAGATAGAATTATTTTTCCTTCATTGCAGATCTTTGATTAATTAAACTTTAATATAGTTCATAATATTAAATATTTTGGTAAAACGTCATATAGACTTATAAATTCGGGGGAGGGGAGCTATTCCATCAGTATCAACTTTAAAGTAATACAAAAATTTATGATAGCAAACAATATTTCTTTGCAGTGAAGTGCTTATAATTACATTATACGTGATTGCTTCTTAAGAACACAAATACAACTTTTAAATCAGTGCTGTTACTTGCAACTTTCAGCCGATTTTCAGCTTGGTTCTTATCCCTTACCTCACTAACTTGCGTACTATCTAAATTCCAATCGGCTGAAAATTGCAAATAAATTCCAGCACTGCTTCAAATTATCACATATGCTATTCAGAAACAAACAGTAGAGAGTTTTTTCAATAACGTGAATCCAAATACAGTAAACGTTAAAGTCATGTTATTCTTTTCATAGGCCCAATTGTATCGTTACTTTAATTTTAAACGATGCTTAAAACTTTGTTTCTGTCTTTTTTCGGTTTTAAAAAGAGATAAAGAGAGTTTTAAATCTCGCTTAAAGTCAAAGTAACGTTTGTGCAATCAGACTTTAATTGTTAAGAAGAAGATAATCTGACCTTTAGCGTTCACCGTATCTGGATACAGTATTGCAAAAACTCCCTATTATTACGAGAAGTGAATAAAGCCCTTTACCCTATATCCAACTGAGTGAGTTTATAATTATGTCAAATCATAATCTGATAAGAAAATATAAGAATAGAAAAAATATAAATGTCATATCTCTATCATTTATTGACTCAATTGTTTATAAGTCAATATAATACATATATCTTATAATACATGTTATAAAGAATGCTAATGTGAAATATAATTATTACCATCTAGAAGAACCACTTCTTAGTCTTCGTAACCATCGGGTAGAGCATTCACTTTAGGATTATGAAAAAGGCTGTGATTACCATCTCCCCATGGAAATTTCTATACATAATATATCATTAAAAGAAGTAAAAAAGGGCTATATCTTAGAAATTCATATCAATTTCTTGCACTTTGACACTGTGTGTGTGTGTGTGTGTATTTTGATACCTTGGTTCTCATCCTCAAGTGTTCGTATGCAACAAATTCTGGACGTTCATCATCATGATGTGCCTGATGATTCAAATAGCAATTGAGCATAGCCAGAGCTATCGCTGGAAAGCCTACGAAATACGAGAGCCTCTTCCACAGCAATTGCGTTTGCTCTGTAAAGTACACAGCGTTACCATTATGTAACGTTCATTGATAATTTATTTGACACTCTCTATACGTTTTCTTTTCATCTATAAAATATTATATGCTATCATAATATTATTTAAATATAAAGACATTTCGCACTCAAGTCTTAATTAATAACAATAAATTTGACAAAAATGGCACTTTTGTAAAAAATATTCATCAATGTGCGAAACATTGTGCATACAAATACCATTATATTCAAGTAGTTATATAAATAATATATTAAAATTATCAGTATTTCTCATTTATGTTCACCTGTAACGCCATGAGTACCACCAAATTTAGGAGCGGCAGTCGAATATTTTCTGGAAAAGGAGCGAGCGAATTTCGTCCAAGAAGCCATTTTTATTCTTCTGCTCAACTGTATTCAGCTGCTCTTACTTTGCTCAGAGAGGAACCTGAGAGAGGCGATGCCGACCTTTTTCCTGTTACTATCGAAACTCACGTACACTACCGCCAGTATGTACAATACATTCATTTTCGATTTGTGAACTATGCGATACATTCATTTTCTGACACTGTCGATAAAATCGTATCGTCGAAAGTGGATGGTTCGTGTTTGTACTATATTTACAGGATAGAAACGGGTTACACGACATTTTTCCGAAAAACTAAACTGGAAAATGTTGGTATTAAGAAAAATCTCTAGGCAACACGATTTTAATTTGTACGGATTAGTAACACTGGCCTAGTTTTCACCGAGAGTTTAATTCGGATCAGAATGTAAGAATCAACTAATTACAGTCGAGTATTCCCCTGTTACAGTCGAACGACAGGGGAATTTCCCCTGTCTATTTCTTATGGCTTAAGGCTTAAAAATCTAATAGATCCGGGCTAAGGCCGGCGTCTCATGGAACGGAAATTTACAGCGGAACGGAACCAATCACAGAAAAGAATGCAGAGTAATGACTGAAAAGTTGATTGGTCACGCTGTTCTGTTCTGCTGTAAATTTCCGCTCCATGAGACGCTAGCCTTATTTTATTAGTTGAGATGATTTGTTAATGCAAGTTACGCTCACGTAAGTTATGCTGCATGTGAAAGCAGCTTAATGACAGGTTTGAATTATGGCCGATATTCATAGTCGATTCTTATTTCAAGATCGTCTTAAGTATGTCTTAAATCACTAATGCGGCTCTCTGATTGATTCGTGACTTCTTAAGATCGTACTTAAGACAGTCTTGAATATCTAACTATGAATATCGGCCTGTGTCATGGAGATAATCATATTGCTTTTCCCATATTAAAGCCAATATTCATAATCGGTTCTTATTTTAAGACTGTAAGTAAGATTCGTAAGTAAGACTGTCTTAAGATTAATATTCTTTAATTGGTTTGTGATATCTAAAAACTGTACTTAAGATGGTCTTAAATATAAGATTTGACTATAAATATCTGCCTAAGATCTAATTCTGATTGGCTAACTAAATCGGCTATTGCGCGTCTCTCAAAATGGGCGCGTTTAAATTGACAAAGCGGCTAGCCTGCTTGCCGAGCAAATAAGCATAATTGGTTGTTACTTATAGATCCAATCATATTCAATCGGTAAGCATGCCTAGCCGCTTTGCCGTCTTGAACTCGCCCATTGACTCAGCTGTTGACTTTTTTCCACCATGTTGTATCTGTAAATACGAATCTTTAAACTTGGTACTCCTTGCTACTACTTGCTACTCCTGTTGATTGTCGATTAGTGGATTAGTTTGATTGTCAAAAATATTTTGTTACTTTACGAAAGATTCAGTAGACAAATTAATTCGCTAAAATGACTATGGCAATGTTGCAACGTCGCGCCAATGTAAATATATAGGATAATTTACGCGATATCGACAGATTATGATCTCAATGCTAACCTTAACCTAACTTTCTGTGTGTTATTATTTTGTGATAAATGAAATTCTTATTTTAGGTAAGGCTGCCACCCGAAGTAAATAGAGTATTATATATTAGGAATTTACCATATAAAATCACGGCTGAAGAAATGTATGATATATTTGGCAAATATGGAGCTATCAGACAAATTAGAGTGTAAGTATTGTGTTATTACAATTGGCGTAGTCAATAAAAATAAATTCTTAATTAGAAAAATCCGAGCGATTGAGAGCAATAATAGCGCAGCAATTGGTGCATTTAATCTTAACAATAATATATTTCCTTTACATTATAAATTGATCGTTTTTTAATGTAAGAAAGGAAATATACTATTAAGATCAAACACATTAATTACTGCACTAATTGCCTTCAGATTTTTATAATTAATGTTTGTTTATTATTTAGAGAGCTCAATTTAGATTATTCTGTTTTTTAAAATAAAGTCTATCTCTCTCTATGATAATTTAATTAAAATTAGGATTCTTGTTTCAGAGGTAACACAGCAGAGACCAGAGGCACAGCATTTGTTGTGTATGAAGATATATTTGATGCAAAAAATGCATGTGACCACTTGAGCGGTTTCAACGTATGCAATCGTTATTTGGTGGTTCTATATTATCAGAGCAATAAAGCATTTAAGCGAATTGACGTTGATAAAAAAATGGAGGATCTAGATAAATTGAAGACAAAATATAATTTAAATGATGAAAAAAAGTAATTTGTTAATATTTATAAGAAACATGGAATTGTGTGGCGCTTACAAAATATTTATTAAAATACAGGATGTCTGGTAAGTTTTGATAAAATGCTCATATGTAAATAGAGCAGACTAAATTAAGTCGAAAAGTCCTCATTTTGTTATTTTCATAACCTTCTTTTTAGTTACCCAATAAGCAGAATGTTAAAAATCGATATATAAAATAACTTTAAGGTACCTTTAAGAATTATTTAAGAAACATTTTTACTTTTTAACTTTAAGATATTTTATAAAAAATTCTAAAAGAAATCTTAAAGTTGACTTATGCACTAACTTTATCTGCTTATTTGACAATCTTTAGAAATTAATATCTTGACTATTGTGAAATTTGCAAAATGGTTGAGAAATGTTTTTGACTCAGTTCGTCTTATCTATACACGAGTGCTTTGTCAAAACCTATCGGACATCCTGCATAATTACATCAATAGTTTATTAATTTTTATATTGTATCAATTAGATGTATAATACTTAAGATGTGTGAGAAATATGATTTAACTTTAAGTAATGCGAATAAACTTGTATTATATGATACAAATAAATTTGTATATAATTTCCTGTAGTTCTTGGCATAATTTTCTTTGCGCTGGATCAGTTTTCATATTTTACAAATATTTCATTTATTTATTAATTCAGTAATAATGTTAGTGTAAGTGTAATTTATTTTATCCTTGCTGGTATAAGACAGGTTACATTTTCGAGCCTTCCCCAAAAAAACATAGAAAAACCTGATCGAAAAAATGTCGGCGCATTAAAAAGTCGCAATTAATACTACTTTCACAGTCGGTTGCGGAGTGGCATGCCTGCGCTTTCAGGGAAGCGTAGTTAAAGCACCACTCACACTGTTTCTTATAAGTGACATCGTAATATGTTGTAATAAAATTTTCAATTTAATTTAAAAATGACGAATTGTTCGTTTTTACTTTGTTTCATGTGCCTTTAATAGCTACTTGTTTTATTATTAATTATAGCCGATGATTGCGATATATTAATTGATTTTAAAGTTTTCTTTCAAACCTGAGAAATTTCACATCAACGCAAAGATATTCATAATAAAATTTGTACAAAATGAAAAATGAAAGAGTTTTTTCGTTGACACGTTTTTTTTATTACGCAAACAGTTTTGTTTTTTTTTTTTATATAAAATATATTATTTTCTGTTATATATTTATTTCACTTTATTAACGTCACGTTCATAAATTGTTATTTTAATATTAAGAAATGCTGAATATCAATTAAAAAAAATATTCAAATAACACAATCATATTATGTTAAATTAATACTCGAATATATTAAACATTTAACACAAAATTTTAACAAGGACATAAGTGGATCGTTTCTAACATAAGTGCAAAATGTTTTTTATTGTGTAAAAAATAGAAATGGTGAAAAATGACCACTCGATATATACTTGTATCACGCAGCACGAGATCGCAGAGTCGACGCGCGCGGCACGCGTCCGCGAGTGTGCACGCACGCGCGACGCACCGCGTCGCGACGCGGGGCGACGCACCCATACGTGGACGGAGCGGCGGGCGTGTGATCCGTACTCATTCGATTTCAGTCAGTTGAAAGCGAAAACCCGTTTGGCGTTCACGCCGTCGTGCTTCGACGCACGCTGACGCACGCACGCACGCTGACGTACGTACGCACGCACGCACACAAGCACGCACGCACGTTCGCGCGAGATCTCATCCCATTTATTGACGTTGCGTTGAATTCAACGTACGTATCGGCCGCGAAACTCGATATCTCCTTACGGGACCGAGTCATCAGCTCGCGGCGCGTGCCGCATCGCGCCGCGTCGTGTCGCGTTTTTTTATTTTCATGCTAGATAGCGGCGCGGCGTCATATGATATCGTATGATTGCTGTGGCGGCGACGGCCGCGTCGCCGGCGAGTCGCTTGGCACTGCCCTGCGCGACACGCTGCATCTCATCTACGAGGGTCTGCACGAGCTACTCGGCGTCGATACGCAACACCGTTCGTGGATGCCTCTTCTCGTCGTCTTCGCCGTCGCCAGCCTGCTGCTGGTCACCGGTCTGTTCGTCACAGGGCGCTACCACGTTACATCGAAAGTCACTAGATCGCTAGACAGGAATAGAACGATATCGCTAGCGTCCGACGATAAAAATACTCCACCGGCTATCAGCGACTGGAGCACACGCGACGCCTATAAACGCGAGAGTTGTGAGCTGTAATCTCTCCCGGGGCTTTATCATTTGGAATGACACGAGTGCGTCGGTGCGAGCCCCTGGGACTCTGCAGAACGCCAGAATGCGGATTGTTCAAGGACTTGATCGGAGACGGACTCACGTTGCACTTTGCAAAGTCACTAGAGCGTATCGCGACAGAGTGTATTCGGCGATACGTGACAGCCGCCGGTTTTGCAGTGGCGTGAATTATTCCCCCTTTCTCACAAAAATAAACAGCTATGAAAGTTGCGCAATTGCGTATTTATATCGACCTAACACTTGGCTTATTATATCGCTCGCTAGCCTAAAAACGTTTCACAAACATTTTCGTACGTCGCATCGCGTATGAAACACGTAATGTGAAATCTACAAACATTCCTGCCGTTTACTATCTCCCATAATTGTTCGCTCAATAATCGCCCGTTTGCTAACGAGAACGACGTGCTCTTCAAAATAAAACGAAATCAAACGTTTATTCATTAAGACGAAATCATTTATTTTCCGTAAATTCGAGGAAGAATTTTGCCTATATCTAACGATTATTATAGTCATTACATAAAGTCCTTCTGAA